CGAGGGGGCGGCTTTTCCTTCTTTACTTTCCAGGCCTGGCACTCCGCTAGCCTGGGCCCTATTATTCAGCAGAGGAGACGCCATTTTTTCAGATGGGGAGCAAGTAGAGGCATTTGTATTTTATACAGGGATTTTCTTCTGTTTTTTTTAGGGGGGGATTTGAGTGATCTGGCAGGGCAGCAGAGTGCTTACATTTGCTAACGGCAGGGTGAAGAAGTAAATGGGGGGTGGGGGTATGAAAGAGGTATGCTGCTGCAGGTGTGCGAGGCCCCGCTGGAGCCCAGGATCGACAGTGCCCCCCCCCCCCCCCCAGATGGGGAATGGCTCACTCTCCCACTCCCCCAGCTAATAAACTCCAATATTAGTTACAGGCTTTAAACTCAGGAATGTGCCACTTTAACCCCTTCCTCACCCTGGCTGATCACCGCAACGAGCACCATTGCATATGTTAAGGGGGGGGGGGGGGTAGCAATGTTGTTCTTAGCCACATCCCCCCCGATGTAGCGCCCCTGCACAGCCTGCAAACACACAGAGGTGACACCACAGACTAATTAATTGGCTATGCATATGTGTGCATGCGTGTGCAGGTGTGTGTCTGCGTGCAGGTGTGTATCTCTGTGCATGTGCAGGTGTGTATCTCTGTGCATGTGCAGGTGTGTGTCTCTGTGCATGTGCAGGTATGTATCTCTGTGCATGTGCAGGTGTGTGTGTGCAGGTGTGTGTCTCTCTGCATGTGCAGGTGTTTGTCTGCGTGAGTGTGCAGGTGTGTGTGTGTGCAAGTGTGTATCTCTGTGCATGTGCAGGTGTGTGTCTGCGTGGGTGTGCAGGTGTGTGTCTGCGTGGATGTGCAGGCGTGTGTGTGCAAGTGTGTATCTCTGTGCATGTGTAGGTGTGTGTCTGCATGGGTGTGCAGGTGTGTGTCTGCGTGGATGTGCACATGTGTGTGCAAGTGTGTATCTCTGTGCATGTGTAGGTGTGTGTCTGCATGGGTGTGCAGGTGTGTGTCTGCATCGGTGTGCAGGTGTGTGTGTGTGCAAGTGTGTATCTCTATGCATGTGTAGGTGTGTGTCTGTGTGGGTGTGCAGGTGTGTGTCTGCGTGCATATGCAGGTGTGTGTCTGCGTGCATATGCAGGTGTGTGTGTGCAGGTGGGTGTCTCTTTGAATGTGCAGGTATGTGTCTGCATGTGTGTGCCTGAAATGGTGTGAAGATGCTGCAGAGTCTGTTAACCTAAGTAATGGCATCAATAATCAGTACCGACAGCAGTTGGTGAAGGGAAACCTGTGATCTCTCAAACTATCACCTGTGCCGTGTGCTGTTGTGCATAGTACTTGTGTGCTGTCCTTTGTCTCCTACCCCAGGTGCATCAGCCCACTGCAGTGGGCCTGTGGTTCCCCCCCACGTCACCCTGAACACTGGCCTCGGTGCCCTGCCTGTAAAATTAGTTTCTCATTAGTGCCGGGGTCCCTGTTCCTCCTCCTCACTGTGCACTGCGGGTATTAACAAGAGACCGGGGGACTCGTTAAGGGGAGACACACGCTTAGGGCCTTGGATTTAGCAGGATACTCCAGGAGCCGGCTCATAAACTCAGGGGGGAGTCAGCGAGGGAGGTGGCATGAGTAGGGGGGTGAGTACAACCCGAAGAGCAAAAAAAAAATGGGTGGACCTAAAGAAGAGAGCTTAAATTTCACAGCAGTTTCTTCCGAAGGCGTTTGCTGGCTTTTCAGCGGAGCTGGAAGGTATCAGGGGTGTCCCCCAAATCCCCCCCACCCTGCACAACAATGAGCAAAGACCGTTTCATCTAGTAGACTGACACATCTGGCCAAAAGCGCCCTCACATGACGCACTGTTACGGTGGGCAGCAGGCTAGCTATCCATGCTGGGAATGTGGAGTTTATGGTGTAGAAAGAGGAAACACCCTGCAATAGGGCGCGAATATGAAACCCCATGAGCGGCATCACAAAAATCCAGACTGAGGAACAACATGTGAAAGCAGTCAGACATCCCATCTCTCCTGGAGTCCCCCACAAACTGACAGCGGCTCGCTGACAAACGCGACTGATGCGCGATGCCCTGGAAATCTGCTGTTCTTTTTGCCAGCAACTAGCCGACAAGCTTTACAAAACTCCGCCCCTTCCTGTCAATGTTACTGCCGGCACCCCAACACCCCTCAGCCAGCACTAGATTCAGATGGGGTCTCGTTTGTAACACCACCTTACGGTAATGGTCTCCAAGCCTAGTCAGCATTGTCCATCCCCCTGAAATCAGTATGCCTCAGATGGGGTGTGTGAAAACTGAAAGAAATAATCATGTCTGCCTGCCCATCAGGGCTCATGGGGACTCGCTTTCCATGCATGTGCTGCTGCTCTGTCCTGTTGTTTGAGTTCATAAAAACTACATCAGAACTATAAGCACTCATCAGAAATACGTGTTGCATCACACTTCGGGTTTCCCTCACTCGGCTTCTCGGTGTATCGCTACCTTGTGGCAGGACATGCAAGGCCTAGAGGGTGGAGGGGGGGGGAGGGGGCCTCAGAGTAGGCCTGAGAGACACCCTGGGAAAGCCCACCCTCGTACCCCAACAGATGGATTTCAATAGCTCTGCATTACCTGCCCCTGATATCCACGCCGCCCCCCCCACACAAGTCCCACCCGAGCCCCACTTGCTCATTTCACGACCAAAGGAGCCCCCCCCAGCCAGTGCTGGAATAGGGGCCCGACCGCCTCCCCAAGCTTGATTTTCCCCTTGTAAGTGAATTCAGGTTTGGGTGCAGCTTGTATCTTCTGTAATAATTACTGCTGTTCAGACCGGGGTCCTTCATAGTCCAATGGTGGCCAGTTTAAGGGGATAAATGAACTTAGAGGTGAGCCGACGGGAGACTCTGCCTAAGTGATGATGAGGTAAGGAAGCGGTGCCATGGCAGGGGTGGCTGCAGCCCCCCACTACGGGCTCTGGATGCCTGGCTCTGTCTGTGCAGCTCGCATGTTCCCCCCGTGACTCTGCAGCTTTCTGCCAGACCCTCCATGCTCGGTGAGATGGACTGGCACCTCCGGCGCAGCAGACTGGCATCCCATCCGCGGCCCCCCCTGCTGCCTGGCACAGACTCCAGGCTCACCAAGACCTCGCACTGGATAAGCTGTTACAGAAGATGGATGGAGGTCCTGAAGACCCATGAGAACATTTAAAGCAAGCACTAGTTTTGCTAGTAGAGGCTTTCATACCCATTTATACTCCTGGATGTGATTTCACTCCAGAGATTTATAGCGAAGCCCTTTGCTGCAGGGCACTGAAACTCCTGAGAGCTGAAGCAGGAACCTCTTGGTGAGCAGGCCAACTCCATACACGTCCCGCTACCGCCAGCCTCCGCTGCACCGCTGTGCACTAACCGAGGGAGCGAAGTCAGCTAATGAGGTGCTGAAGGCCCTCAGCTGCTCCTCCCGCCTTGGCTGGGGCTGCTCTGCGGCCTCCCCCTCTGCCAGGGATGCCAGCCACCGGCACGGACCTCGGCGCTGGCCCAAGAGCCCGGCTCCGCTGTCGAAAGCTGTGAACAAACACGCTCAGCTGGACTCTGGTGACAGAGAAAAGAGGTTTGACCGACGTGACCGTGCCACACGGCCATCACTCAGGTCCCGGGCGCTGCCAGAACGGGGCCACACCGCCGGGGGCAGGCCCAGACACACGGCTCACTGAATGACCTGGGAGGTGATGCTTTCTCTCAGGGGGACGAAGGTCCGGCCAGGTTTGCTTGGCCTAACCTCTACGAGTGCGGCAGGGAGCCCGACTCATCCAGGATCAGAGGAACCAACAGCGGCAGACGAGCTGCTTTCAGACCTCAGATCTGCAGCTAATTTCGGCATGTGGGAGTCTCTCCCATTGTAAGACTCATCCATAGCAGCCTTTACTGGCAAAATTAAAAATCAGCCAAAAAATATCCTACCCAACAGGAAGTAAGGAAGGAATATTTCACCATCGTTTATCAATGCAATTTACAGGTTATTCTTAAATATTCTTAAAGTCACTCATAGATGGCAAATAAGGAAAAAATGGGGGATAAAAGGGTGGCGGCCACATTCTTTCTCTGGCTAGCGGTGAAGAAAAGCGCTGCAGGAGCGGAGGCCCAGGTTTGGGGGGAGCCACAGCTGTGTTGTGGTGTGACTCACACGGTTCAGGTAGCAGGCCACGCCCACATGCAGGTGTGACTCGTCGAGTCATGGCCCATTCATCTACCCCCCCCCCCCCCCCCCCCCCCCCCAGGGAAAAAGGACGTGAAAGGGATGAGTTGTTCATTGGGAGGAGCAGGGTGGCATTTAGCCTGCAGAGATGGGGGTGGGGGGGAGGCTTGTTTGTTGGGTTGTGTCAGTGTTGGGTCGTTTGCCCTGACGAGCTCCATGCTCACTTTTTCTCAGGCCATGGAACCAAAAATCACGTAGAATGGTGTCCACCTTCCAAATAAAAGGAGCCCTGTGAATAAAAGAGAGGCCCTGGGGGACCAGTAGGGGGTGCTGTTTCAGTGACATCCAGGCCAACTGTGAAGTTTGAGTTCTGCGGCACAGTTCAGTTGTAACAGAGGAGCAATTTTCTGTTATGAATGATGCTGCACCGATCACATTGGCGCTGGTGATGTCCCACATGGCCATATGCAGCCTGCGCTGTGTATTTAGCTGTGTGGGTTCCCGCCAGTGCGCCGCGTACTGCGCCCTGCCCAGCGCCTCGTGTGCACAGCGATAAGGCCAGAGCATGACTGAGCATCCCCAGGCGTGACACAGTGCCGGATGGACGCACGGGGCCAGCGGGGGGCCCCCAGCGCTGCCGGGAAGTGCGATTCTACAGTCAGCTTCAGATTAGCGCTCCCGCCTCATTAACTGTAAAAAACGATTTAGTGTTTTCCTGTTTTTCTTTCGTTTTTTGACTTCCTACCCCTCCTCTAGCCTCGGTGCAGCCACACACACCTCCCACCCCCCACCCCCCCCAGAGCAGAGGGAGAGGGAAACAGCCTTTGAGAAACTGGAGAGGGTCTCTTTCCGAGGATTATCACGTCGTCTGAGTGCCTCTGATGTGATCCGGACGCCGTGACAGCGAGCGCAGAGCGGGAGCAGCCGCAGCTGCCTATGAAGAGACACCATTAGACCAGAGCAGAAGGTACAGACATCAGGGACACAATCCATGACAAGGCTGCCATCTAGAAAAAATGTCCAGCGTAACCTTTGGGTTTGCCCCCCCCCCCCTCTGCCACCCCAAGGTGCCGCCTTAAGTGATGTCCGGGGCAGAGGCGGGGGGGTGTTTAGCCAGAGAACCATTCTGTAAAATGCTCCAGTGACACGTCCTGCTGTTTCCAGCTGTTTCGGGTCAAATCGCCAGGCAACCTTGCAGTTTTGGGACAGCACGCTCAGTCTGGTTGCCCAGGCTGCCACAGGCACAGGCCGTTTGCTGAGGAGCCCCGGACTGGCCTGGCTGGTACCGGTACCGCCTTGCTGCCTAATGAGCTGAGCCCGGCTCGCACACGCCGCTGACGGCTCCCCGCGGTCCTGCTCCCCTTTCCACTCTTTGAAGAACGCTGTCAGGAGCTGGGGCATAAAAGAGCACCAGCTTAATGGAAACCCGGAGAGACTAAAGCCTGCCCCTTGTGGACATATTAAACATACATTTGGCTATGAGACCTTTGAACTGAGTTGTTAATTTAATTTGGACCAAGATCAATAACCATGAAGGCTGTCGATGCTGCGGCACCATTATCAAAGTCAGAAATATGAAGCAATACACTCTTTACTGTAGTCCCACTCATTTTTTGAAGCTATTAACAGAGGATATGAGTCATAGAGACCCTGGAGAATATCCCAGTAAGCAGAGGACGTGACATAGGGGACACTGGGGACACCCTAGATGGGACACAAGTCCACCAGGAGACACCCTGGATGGGATGCCAGTCAGTCCATTGCAAGGCTTACACTATGTACCAATGTAGAGGCTCCAGCTTGCCTAACGGCATGTGTGATTGTGGGGGGAAGCAGGAGCCCTGGAGAAATAGCAGGTACATAGGGGGAGTTGGACACCACAGCTATTGAGCTGATAAGCCATTCTCAGCTCTCCTGAGCTTCCCAAAGAGGTTGGATGCCGTCACACCTGCCACTCCAAATTAATATACTTAATTGTATTTAGAGTGAAATATGAAAGCACATTCCTATATTCTAGATAATCAAATGGCAAGAGCACAAAGAGAAATGCTATATTTGATGTAATGACTTTTCTATGACCTTGTTGCTTTGCAATGATACTGGTGTTACTCAGTGACCTACTGCACCAACTTACATCCATCTAATTTCCTCCAAAAACCTTCCCATTGTTTGCAGCCCATTGGCTGGTTCATGCCAATCACACACTTATTTATTTTGTTATGTCGGCTGTCAAGGGACTCGAATGCTGGAGTTGTCATTGTTATCTGACCTGAATGGTTCTGCTAAAACAATTTTCTGTTCAAAGGTACAACATTAGGAGACTTTTCATCCTCAAGCCAAACGTTCTACATGCTGCAACACCTGCCGATCTGTGTCATAAGATTTAAATTTGAGCAGAAACCTTCAGGGGCTCGTCTTGCCTAAGAACCCCTCCAAACAGCATCGGCGCAGACCGTCGCTGGAGACAGATGCCTCCATTCACCAGAGCGTCTCTCACATTCCCCAACATGACTTCAACACCAAACTTGAGCATATCAGCAGGGGATGCCCTTGCTGACACCCGGCTCCTGACCTTTCACCCCCTCACACATGGGGTCAAGCGGACGAGGGACACCTCAGGCGACCCCCACCACTTCCCGTTGTTGTCACGGATACTCTTCTTCAGGCCCCTTGAGCACAGGGTTCTCTTCACAATGGCCTTGGCGTGAAACATTCACTCTCCTCAGCATGGTGATATTTCTGTTGTACAGCGCTGGTTTCTGGTCTGAAGGACCATCGCACCTTGGATCGGTGTGTGTGACCATCCTAGAGAGGGAGAGAGACGGACGATGAAGAGAAGGCGCTTTAAAGAGCTCCTGTCGATGTCGCGGTGTACATGTTGGCCGTCTCCGGCCCGCCTGTGGAAACCCGGCACCATCAGCCATAGTCACGGAAATCCGTATCGACGAGCTGCAGCGTTGCTGGCTAATTAGCACCAAATTTACCTCGCTAGCAGAGCTCACGCGTTGACACATGAGCGGCTCGGGAGTGCCTGTCAATAAGCTAAAAGAAGAGCACGTGAGGGGTAGGAGATACCCGACTCCGGAAATGCCGGGGGGCGGGCTGTACAGGCCTCTAGAACGTGTTAAAAGGCTGACATAGGTGTCCCTCCATCTGCCTGCCCTTTTCTGGTTGATCCTTGGCTTACCTCACTTGGCTACCATGGTTGTACACACACTACCATCTTCACAGTGTTCAATGGAAAATTAAATAAATGAATGACACCTTTTGGTTCCTCAGTTCACTTCCTTTCTGTATCACTGTGTTCTTGCTGTTGTTGTAGCTGCCAGCATTTACGGTATCGGGCGTGTAACTGCAGTGCAGAATGGGACACAAATCCGCACTTCATCATTTTTTGTTTTCCTATTTTTTTGTTTTTATGGGAAAGTGTCATTTCCCTTTAAGCATTCAGCTCCAAAGCAGATTTTCCCCAAGAAACAAACCTAGACGTTGGTGTGGCGCACACAGGTCTGGGCGTGCAGAGGCAGTGCCTGTTTGTGTGAGCACTCTGTCTGCCCGTCAGGAGGCAGGACGAGAAACACCACAGATTCCTGCTGACACGGGCTGTGAGCACAACTAAGCTGAGATACAGGCCTGCGAAGTAAAGCGGCCCACACACACACACACACACACACACACACACACACACACACACACACACACACACACGCAAGCAACCACACATGCTTGTATTTGTATCTTTGAGGGGAACATCCATTCATTTTTATAGGAAAAACCCTAATCCCAACAATGACAACCTTAACCCCTACCCAACCCAAACCTTAACCAGAAGCAACCAAACAAAATACAGGACTTCTGGCATTTTTAGCATTTTTGATTGCTGTCACAAACTGAATTTCCCCCAACGTTAAAATAACAGGTTTTTATCACATTGTGGGGACATTTGGTCCCAAAAATGTAACGTATACGTAACACACACACAAACACACACACACACACACACACACACACCTGACCACAGAGTGAGCACACAGGCAGAAGCATTAAAAGCAACATTCCCGCAAACGTGAATGACACAAATGCAAAAAGAAATACACATGTATGCTCAGAGATTTTTTTGATGGCAAAACAAAACAAAACAAAAAAAACAAAAAGCAAAACAAACTTCCCTAAGGAGCACGGCATTCCTGAAAAAGCCTGTGGTTTTCATTCATTTCTGTGGCTCGTATTATATATAAACTACACGTCCACAACTTTGGAACTGTATAAACAAGAAGAGTGTCAAACGCACACAGCTGCAGCCAGAGCCTATTTACACACATACAGACACACACACACATGCATGCACACACACACTCATACACACGCACACACTTCGGAAATGTCAGTAAGACACCGGGAACGACACAGAAGCACAGCCATTGTTCAAAGAGGCTCATGTTCCTTAACTGAGTCCTTTGTTGTCGTAAACAGCATGAATTTTTAATCCAGCCCAAGACGCTGCTAATGAACGTGCCCCACCCGCCAGGGTCCCGGGGGAGGTGGGCTCGCCGTTCCTGTTGCTAAGCTCCGGCCGGGTGGCTTCCGCTTCCCCAGTGGATTGAACGGTTCCACCCCGCTGGTTCACGGGCCTGTGCTCGAAGGCGCAGAGGTGGGGAGGTGCTGTCGAGGGCAGGCACAGAGGAGAGACAAAAAAACGAAAGTCGGTCTCACAGTGACTTTCCTGCTTTTTCTGACTTCCCAGCAGCCTCCTCTCCTCTCTTCTCCTATCACTTTGTCGCCTTTCCTGTCCTTCTCTATTCAACTCTCCCCTCCTCTCCCCTTGTCTCCTCTCCTCGCCCCTCCTCCTGTCCTCTCTCTTCCCCTCCTCTCCCCTCTCTTCCTCTCCTCCTCTATTCACATCTTCTCTCTGCTCCTCTCCCCTCATCACCTCTCCCCTCCTCTCCCATTGTCTCCTCTCCTCACCCCTCCTCCTCTCTTCTCCCCTCCTCACCTCTCCTTCCCTGTCCTCCTCTTTCCTTATGCTGTGCCTCCTCCTTCCAGCCTGTGGTAACTGAACTATGATCGTCTCTGTTAGTCGATGGCTGCCAGCCTGATAATGCTGCTGTGGACCTAAAGGAGCTCATCTGAGGCGTCACACTCCAAGCCACCTCTATTCTTCCCCTTTGTCTATCTACTGACCTCCCTCCCTCCCCCCCAACCCCCACCCCCAGGCTGGACGCTTCTCCCAGATGGGTGCCGTGCGCCTATCACCAGAGCCAGCGATATCCATGCTGTGGGGACGTGTGCGGGGCCCGTTGGCATTATCTCGCGTCAGCAGCCGCTGGGGACCATCTGTCTCCCGGACATGTGACCCCTTCATTCAAAATTTAAATTCAAATCGAATTTCTCAACTGCCATAGATCATTCTAACTTTTTAATGGGGAAAGAAACATGGCCCAAGCTCATGGTTAGAAAATGACCATCTGATTGTAATTTGATTGTAGAGAGGATAGGTTTCATAATTTAAAATTTCTGCAAATTGAAACAGAAAAAAAAAAAACTATTTTTTTTAATTAGCACTGTTGCCTCACACCTCTGGGACCTGGGTTCGAGTCTCCGCTTGGGTTACATGTGTGTGGAGTTTGCATGTTCTCCCTGTGTTGTTGTGGGGTTTTCTCTGGGTATTCCAGTTTCCCCCTAGAGTCTAAAGACATGCTGAGGCTGATTGGAGTTGCTAAAATTGTGAATGGTGTGTGAATGTGCCCTGCGATGGGCTGGCCCCCCATCCAGGGTTGTGCCCATTGCTTCCAGGATAGGCTCCAGACCCCCTGCAACCCTGTAGGATAAGCAGGTTGGACAATGGATGAAAATTCATATAACTGTTCTTCAAGATCTTTGTATTCCAAGTACTTACACAGCCATTTTATTAAATTAGACTGCAGTTGTAACAGGACCTTGTGAAAAGGATATAGTCCCTTTGGTGATTTAATCCCATGAGTTATAATCCAATCATCCATCTTCCATGACTGGCTGCCAATCGCAGCGCAGGGGCACCTCAGCCATGATGCCAGATACTTATCTCTCCAGTTGTCAAAGTTCTGATTTTTTTTTCATCCAGATATATGTAAAAAAATCTGGAGAATTCTGACTATCTTGTTTAAGTTGGTGTTTAATGAAAGACTTTTGTATTGCTGGGTGTTTACCAAGCGTTCTATCGCTGCCAAATTGGGTCACGGCTGTTGGACCTTTGATCTGAGTATTTAACCGGGAATATTTCAGTAGAAACAGGCCATTCATAATCTTCAACCAAATTCCAACTGCACTATCCAGTTCAGGGTCTTGTAGAGCCTGTCCCAGGAATCAGAGAGCATCAAGCCCTATCTACAGACTAAATGTAAATCTGTGAGCTTAGGTCAAAACCATTTCCTAAGCATCAGTCTGATACCTGGGCTTTCTGGGAAGAACCTCGATTTGTTGTACACCTGAGGAGAGCTGGATAGGCTGCAATGTCCCTGCTTGGCCTCTGATGGACTGGCAGGCAGGTAACGCCTCTTGACATGGGTGGCATCTGGCTGGCAGTCACACTTGGCATTATGGAGCATTTTGAAGTGTTTCATGTTGCCTGTTTTCCGTGGGGTGTTTACACCAAAGCTTGCAAGGGACCGATAAGGCCGGGCTACAAATTTATATAAAAGTTTTGTTTCACTTTTGTTTTTAATGTTTCTGTATGAAGTTTCACATGCTGAATAAGAAAATCACATTAGTTTATGTATATCACCTATGATGCTCAAAAACATTTTTTTTAAATATATTGACAACATGTATAAGCTAGCTAAATTAATCTGTCATTACATATTTGCAAAAATTTTATGGTACATAATAGAGAGGAAGCAACAGCATTAAACATTAGCAGTTATTACAGTGAGACATGCTGTCCTTACAAACCAAGATCCAGATGCAGTCACCCATCATTGCGTCATCCTACCTTCCCCGATATCTTCTCTCCAACTTGATGCGACGTCGTGGTCGAATGGCTCTCCATGTTCCTCACTAACAACACCGCGATTTAGTCAAAAGGAATTGAGATGTGAGTGCAAGTAGTGCAGTTTGAATGATGCTACAGAAACTTCTAGAATGTTCCTATCCTAGCAAAAACAAAATAGCTAAAGAAAAACACGTGAAATTAGAACAAAAACTGACCATTACCTGAAATAAGATTTTTGAAAAAAAGAGTCCTAAAATTTACTTAAATACACAACAGAATGTTGTTACTAAGTAAATATTCCCATTATAATCACCACCTTAGAACTACGCAAGAACCATAAAAAATGAAGGGAAACAAACAGTTACATTGTGTGATGCCTTTAAGCAGGGAGACACAGCTCTGTCAGTGTAGCAAACATAATGAAAGGAAACCCTGTTCCCCAGCTAAGGGTTAATAAAGGGAAAGAGCCTCAGGAAAGCTCTGGAATCTCCCCCCAAAAGGATTAAGGCCCTGATTGATTTTCGTATCTGCGCTTGACTCTCCCGCCTCACCCCCTCCCTACATTGATCGTCACAAGTATGCTGACTGCAGTAAGTGAGGGGAGTCATCCTTGGCTCGCTCTGGAAATGAACTTGTCCAATGGCTTCCACGATTTATGCCTTGTGTGTGTGTGTGTGTGTGTGTGTGTGTGTGTGTGAGAGAGAGAGAGAGAGAGAGAGAGAAAGAGTGAGCAGGAAAGCAAGAGAGACAGACGGGGCTCGTTTATGACCGAGGGGTCGTGGGATGTCTCCGATGATACAGCATAGATGTATATATACACGCACACATATATACCCACAAATATCTGAGGCTGCAGCTCACTTAGAGCTACAAGTGGAATCAGGCAAAGACTGGTATCACAAATGACAGACAGCTAAATAAATACAAAGCAGCATCCTGACCATAATATCACCCATGGGGTTGTGTTTAGTTAGGGTTAGGGTTAGGGTTAGGGTTAGGGTTAGTTATCCGCGAGAAAACCCTGAGGACAAACTGGAAAAGAAAACGCTTCTGTATTCATCTCTGAGCTGAAATTATGAAAAATTTCTTGGTGGTTTCAGATAGCCGCCATTAAAAATCTTCAACAGAATTATGTCTTCAGTTTTTGAAATGCTTTCATGCTCCATTTTGTCCCCAAATCAACACTAAATATCACACAAAGCTCCAAACTGAAAAAAATTCTTCCATGAAATGATAAGATATTCTGACAAAGGGTCGCCCTTCTGCCCCATGCAAAGCATTATTATTATTTTCCACAGGAGACGTTATTTACACTGTGCGCAGGTGCTGCTTCGTGTCCCTTCCCGTCCAAACGGATCGTGGTGCAGTCAGCAGTTGCCAGCCCTCCCATTCCTTTGTCTCCCTGCTTCTCCAGCTCTCCCACTGGCCTTTCCCAGCGCGGCGTTACTCTGAGACACATTTGCATCTGATTAATCAGTATCTCCATGGAGGGCTTTTCTCATCGTTGTTAGGATGACTCCCCTTGTTGTGTGCTTGTTTCTATCCGGGTACCTGTCACTACATCGCAGAGTCAGCTTCCTGCCCACCCATAATGCAACACGCTCTGGGTCTTCATGTTTCTGCTGGGCCACTCTGAAAGCAGCAAGGGGATTTGTTTGGCACATCCCTTTCTTTACCACGTGAGGATCAAAACATCCAGAAGCTCCTGTTCAGTTAACATGACACGTCATGAACTTTGACCCCTTACCCCCCCCCACAGCATTATGGTTCGGAAAGCCAGTGGGTAAATTCCGTATTTATTTTCTTGTCTAATTATTTCAATTTGTTTGCTTTTTCCTCTCCATGGGAAAAGCAGGGGTGCTGGGTATTTTTTCTGCGCTTCCACAGTCCTGATGTAACTCAGTGTTTTTAAATTTACATCCACATTATTGTACTTGTCATTCACCCTGTGGGGAAAAAAACAAATATTAAAGTGCCCACCCAGCCCTGATTGCATTGAGCCAATTTGTCTCTCTCACAGCTCTTCGTTCTTATTTGACGGCGCAGGAGAAATGGTACATACAGACCCCCCCGCATTTTTACATTACCTCTCTGTAGGCATGGCCAGACACTTTCAGTACTAAAAGGCGGGGGCCTCTTAAATATAAACTCAAATGCATGCATGCATAAACCCGCCCCCTCCCCTCTACCCGAGCCTCTGACACCCACTTTGCATTATTCCATAAACCCGCATAAACCTGCATGCAGTGTTCGCCACAGACCCTGCGGCTTTTATCGACATATCGATTCTTTTTTAAGGACCTACTCCCATATTTACTCTCATTGTAAATCTTTATAATGCTGTAAAAGGAGCATTTTACACACTCTCGTTATACGACGTCTTCACTGCCGGAGGAAACTGGCTGCCGTGTTTTTTTCCCCGCCAATGTAGAGCTTCTGCAAGGCCGTCGAATGAAAAAAAAGAATCTCTAGCCTCAGTTAAAAGGAATGTGAAGGATCCGGCTCGCCTCCCCCCCCCCACAGCCCTGCCGTAACCGCCGGGCCGCTCCCCTCCCCTCCGCAGCCTGCCAGGGTATCTGGGTGAGTGACCTGTGCAGGCACCCCCGGCATGAGCTCACAGGTGCGGGCAGAGCTGCCTCCGAGCGGCTGGGAGTGGGCCCCAGGAGCGGGGAAGCCTTGGAGGCCATTGAGCCACAGACACACTCAGTTAGCTTCTCTCTGGCTTTTACTCCAGTCGAGCATCCAATCGGCCGATACAATTAATCATCCCATCGACCAAAGCGATTTCACTCGATTTAACTCCCTCTCGCTTCTGAAAGTGTTATTTGTTTAACCCGTCAGACCCTGCAGTGACACAGTGCCGTCATTTACTCTATCCCAGGGTCTCCTGTTCCGGCATTCCCAGCCAATCATGGACTCTCCTGTGCCGAGTCCGGTGCTCAGTTCTAACTTGGATGGACACCACGGCTGTGGGATGGAATCTGCTTCCTTAGCACAAAGTCCTACAAAAATCCATCTTACTTAAAAATCCCTTGTCTTATGTATTATCTCCCATATATATATATACAGTAAAACCGGTCTAAGTCGACACTCGTGGGACCAGCTTAAAAGTGACGACTTAGAGAATTGACGAGATACACCTAAGTCTTATGTAAGGCGACTTAT